TGTTGCCCAGGCTGCTCTTGAATTCCTGGACTCAAGCTATCAGCCCGCCTCGGCCTCCCAAAGTGCTGCGATTATAGACACGCGATTAAAGGTGCGCCCAGTGCCTTTGACCACTTTAAAATCAGGTTGTTTTCTCGCTATTGAATTGTTTGAATTCCTTACAAATTTTGGATATTAACCCCTGATCAGATGTACGGTCTGCAAATATTTTCTCCCATTCTACTGGTTGTCTCTTCACTCTGTAGGTTGTTTCCTTTGCTGTGCAGAAGCTTTTTAGTCTGATGTCATTTCTTTTGTCTATTTTTGCTTTTGCTGCCTGTGCAAAAATTTTTTTGATGTTATTGGAATAGAATTTTAAAAAAATTTTCATTTCAGATTTTTCATTGCTAGTATATAGAAATACATCTGATTTATGTATATTGATATTATATTCTGCAATCTTTTTGAATTAGTTTATTTGTTCTGTTAGCTTTTTAGTGGATTGTTTTGCAGACATCCGTGTCTTGTTCTTCATCTTAGGGGAAAAGCTTTCAGTCTTTTACCATTAAGTATGATGTTACTGTGTTTTTTTGTAGCAGCCCTTCATTAGGTTGAGGAAATTCCCTTCCATTTCTAGTTCCTTTGTATTTCCAGTTAATCATGAAAGGATAATGAATTTTGTCAAATGTTCTTTCTGCATCTAATAAAATGATTATGTGGATTTTTCTATTTATTTAATTTATATATATTAATATAATTAATTATTTAACATTAATTTTTGTAAGTTGAAGCAACTGTGCATTCCTGGTAGAAATCCCACTTGCTTATGGTGTATAATTTTTTTTACATTATTTCTTAAGGTCACAGAGCTTACTTTTACTTCTCCATATCATCCAAGGCACTCAAGCCATACTACAATTGGATCAAGAACTAGTGCCCAAGACATGTAACCATCATTATTATTGCTATCCTCATAAATGAGAGCACAAGGTGATGACATTCTGAACTAGAATGACAAGTCCAAATGAGAAACCTCATTTTAAGGAATAAGATAAAAGTTGGAGATAAGGCCATATGGGATTATTACTTTTCTCAATGTTGTTGAATAATCCCCACATTCCTGGAATATGCCTTGCTTGATTGTGATACTCCACTCTTCATTTTTACTTTTTATGTTTCTTAAGCATAGCCTGACAACTACACTTTTTTTAAAAAAATGTTTTATTTTTTAAAACAGGAAAAAATATACATATATATACACACATACATATACATATATATTTATCTAAAGTATTTGGCTTAATGAATTCTTAAAAATAAAACACTAGTGTAACTAGTACACAGGTCAAGAAGCAGAACATTATCAGCTCCTCATAAGGCCACTATCATGCCCCCTCTCAGTCATTACCCTTCACTATCCAACAGGAATAACCACTATCCTAACTCCCAACACTGCTGGTTAGTTTAACCCGCTTTTAAAACTTTGTGTAAAGGAATAATCAGGCTCATTTCACACAACACTGTATTTGTGAGAATCATCATGTTGCACGCAGCTGTTGGTTGGTTGTTCTCGCTGGTGGATAATAGCCCATTATATGAATGTACTGCATTTATCAATTTATTCTGATGTTATTAGGGGATTGAGTCACTGTATTTTAGAAATATTTTGTATTTTAGAAATACAGCCTGGCACCGTGGCTCATGCCTATAATCCCAGCACTTTGGGAGGCTGAGGTGGGCAGATCACCTGAGGTCAGGAGTTCGAGACTAGCCTACCAACATGGCAAAACCCGTCTCTACTAAAAATACAAAGATTAGCTGGATGTGGTGGTGCATATCTGTAATCCCAGCTACTCAGGAGGCTGAGGCAGGAGAATCACTTGAACCTGGGAGGCCGAGGTTGCAGTGAGTCAAGATTGCGCCACTGCACTCCAGCCTGGGTGACAAGAGTGAAACTTCATCTCAAAAAAAAAAAAGAAGAAAAAAGAAATATTATGCATAGTCAGTGCTCCTGTGAATATTTTGTACATGTGTCTTGGTGAATATATCTCCCTTTTCTGTTGGGTGTGTGCCCAGGATGGAATTGCCATCCTAGAGATCCTTTAAGATAGAGGAAGAAATAGAAATTTTTTTCTATTCATTACAGTAGAGACAACTGCATTTTTAAAATAATGACTTCGATTTTCCATGAGCTTTTAAATATCATAGTGTTATTTTTCTCATTCCAGGAACATGTAATAAGTTTTTAAGTAAAGTATTAGCATATAATACAAGGCTTTATTCTGGAATTGTCTATAGCTACACTGTCTAATACAGCAGCCACTAGCCATAGAAGGCTATTGAACACCTGAAATGTTGGGTAAATGTAAAATACAAAATAGACTTACAATATTTAGTATGAAATAAAGAATGTACAATATCTTATTAATAATTTCAAAGTATCCATTACAGGTTGAAATGATAATATTTTGGATATACTGGGTGAAATAAAATATATTAAAATAAATCTCATCTTTTTTTAAAAAAATGTGGCTACTAGAAATTTTAAATTGCATGTGTTGTTTACAATTTTATTTCCTTTGGACAGTGCTGGTCCATACTATGCAATTAAATACATGGATAAGGATTGTCTTAATATTTCAAATGTACATTACTTTCAGTTCTGTTTGACAAAGAACAGGTCATGGACTACTTTGGACCATTTAGTATTGGCACTTTGTGGCTGGCACTTTTGTGGCTGGCACTTTGTGGCTGGCACTTTTATTTAAAATATATTAAATACTCTTTAATTTGATAAATTTTATTTCCTTTGTAGGTTAAACTTCCACATTGTTTACATTGTACATGATGATATTCCTGAGGGAATAAGAAAAGATAACAAAAGTCCATTTGGAAATTGAAGGAGTAGCATTGGATATGAAAAATATTAGCTAAAATTTTTAAATATTTCTTTTATCAAAACAGCTTTCTTTTTTCGTTTTTTTTTCTTTTCTTTTCTTTTTTTTTTTTTTTTTTTTTTTTTTTTTTTTTTTTTTTTTTTTTTTTTTTTTTTTGAGATGCAGTCTCACTCTGTTGCCCAAGCTGGAGTGCAGTGGCACGATTTTGGGTCACTGCAACCTTCGCCTCCCGGGTTCTAGTGATTCTCCTCCCTCAGCCTCCAGAGTAGTTGGGATTACAAGCACATGCCACCATACTCGGCTAATTTTTGTATTTTTAGTAGAGATGGGGTTTCACCATGTTGGGCAGGCTGGTCTCGAACTCCTGACCTCAGGTGATCCGCCCACCTTGGCCTCCCAAAGTGTTGGGATTACAGGCATGAGCCACCGCGCCCAGCCGACAAAACAACTTTCTTACATTGTAATTCCTTATAGATTAACGTAAAGTTTGTGTTATACTTAGTTTAGCATATGTGTAAACCAAGTATTTTTTTGGGTGAGTTTATTTTTATACTAACAAGGATGTTTACTTCTTTAGGGAAAGTAATCTATTTCTTTTTCTTTGGTTGGCAATTAGCACAATCCTAATTGCTTAATCATAACATAAGTGGTACACTCCAGACTCATTATTCCTTTCATTGGATATTATCTGACTGATGAATTGTGATCCCTGTCACAGGCCAAAGTAGCAAGGTCCTGTTTGGATAATTGCTAAATATATTTTTCTTGAATTATAATTTTTTGCCTTATGTCAACTGTGAAAGATATAAACTATAACTTCTTGGCTTTCTTTTGGTGAGAAAAAAATAGGCCTCAATCCTTTTGGTAACAATATAAAACAAGTAAAAGAAAAAAATAGGTCTTAAAAGATCTAGGAGTCACCTTAAACTTTATCTGCCATGAGACACTTAGAAGACTCAGACCTTTGTTGAAGATTACAGAACAGAGACTCATTCAGTCACACCCAAGAGACAGGTGTTCACTGTAAAGACTAGAATGAAGCATGGGAAGTGGATGGATCCAGTGCAGCCCCAGGGAACTGGACACTCACATGCTCCTGGGAAGCAGGTCTTCGTTGCTCTTCTTCCATCACTTGGTCTCAGCTTGTCTTTGACTGGTTTCTACCACTTGTGCCTCCACCCAACCTGCTGCTACATTCTCCTGGTTTCTGCTTACTCAAATGTTTTGCATCCCGAAGCCCATTTTGGCCCCTTCTGCCTTACCCTCTCTTAGTTCCAACCCTTCTATTACATCAGATGGCTCCCTCTCTGCATTCTCCACTTTCCACTTCCAAGGGAGAGTCTGATCTGCTTACTAATTGTCAGAGTCCGTGTTTGATGAGAACTGTTTGTTCCAGGCCACCTCACAGGATGATGAATACCTCATGGATTGTGCGCTCCTGGGTCACGTGATCCCTCTTGATTTCAACTAGCTGGGCTGGGCGTGGGGAGGAGTAAGGAACGTTATTTGTGCAAACCCTGCTCTAGAAATAGTTTGGGTAACTGTTTCCTTTCCAAAGGGACTCTGGGTAGGGTAAGCATCTCTCTCTCACACACGCATATATTAAAATAACAGTGACTAAAACAAAGGGAGTCTGAATAAATTGAATTATGAAGTTAAATGTAGGAAATAATGAATGAACAAGGGAAGAAACCGATACCGATCCAGGGTCAACAACTACCTATGTCCAAGTCAAATTTCTTTGCAGTCTAACAAATTGGCTTTCAAGATTGCATTTTGTTTTGCGAATTAAGCCATTTTCAAGTCACGAGTCGTAGTTTTCTGGAGGCCCCCGGCGTCCGGAACCCATGAATGCCACATTCTTTCTAGCTGCCTTCAGCAGTTCGGGGGCGCTTTGTTTCTTACGTTGGGAGAGAAATTCTGCAGGAAATCGACGCCCAGGATCAGCTGCAGATCCTGGGATCCTTGGCTCTGAGTAGCACGGTGGAAAAGTGGGGTAATCGAGGCTCCGGACCCGTTTTCCTAGGAGCCCAGGGCGCTCCACCTGTCTGGAGTCAGCTCCTTTCTTGGACGTCTCCTCCCCTGAGTTTCCTCCTCATAGGCTTGTCCCTGGGAGTGTGGGCGGCCCCTTTCTTGAGCGCAGAAACACTTACTTTTCCCCCTACCCTGCTCCTCCTCCTCCACAGCCGTCTTTCTCTTTGCCTCAGCCACTTCCTTTCTTGGCCTCACCCTCCCCAGTGCACTGAAGAAGGTAACCGGGTCCGGACCCACGCGGCGCCAGTTCTCCCGCGGGAAGGAAAACCGGGCAGAGAGGTGCGTGAGCGCCCGGGCAGATGTGGCTTAGGTAGCAGGGATGGACCGGGTGTCCGGGGTGCGCCGCCGGGCACTGCGGGCTGCGGTGAGAGTCGGGTCGGGAGGGGGTCGGGAGGGGGCCGGGAAGGGGCCCAGGGCGCGCGGAGGCTGCGACCGGCTGGGCTGAGACCTCGAGGGCTGAGGTCCCGGGGGGCGCGCGCCGCTCACGCCCCCACCTCTAGGGCCGACTTCCGCACTCGGCTCACGTGACGTTTCGCCGGCCGGGGGCGGACTGGGAAGCCGGCAGAAATGGAACGATTTTTACCGCGGTGCGACGTGTCGGCTTTGCACTTGGCGGTGGTTCAGGAGCCAGTTCTGCAGAGCTGGGTGGGGAAGGGCTGGGGGCAAGGGGAGAGACTGCCCCAAGGAACGTGGTGGCCTCAGGGCAGTGGACTCTGCAGCGCCGGAGGTGGGTGCGGCTCTGTGCGCTCCAGGTCAAGGGGTGCAGAGTCGTGAGGGGACACCAGGGGCTCTTGGAGCCCGGGGCAGGGTCCGTTTTCCTCTCCCGGTTTGGGCGCTCGCTCTTTCGGCGCTTCGGGATGCCCGGGCCACTGGGGAGACGGACCCGGGGCGCCGCGCTGGGAGCTGCGGAGACAAAGGCTTCCGGGACGCGGCCCTTCCCTGGCGCCAGCGGTGCCGCCCCGCAACTGAGGGCCCAGCCCGGCGCTCCCCAGCCCTGCACCGGTGCCGGCGCTGACCGTGTGATGATGGGCTGCAGGGCACGGGGTTAAGGGACCTCTACCAGGCAGAACCCCAAACTGGGAGCAGGATGGCCAAATATGGAGTGAGCGCGCCCCAGACCGGAGGGAGGAAGGAGCCCAGTCATCCTTTGACCCGCACCAGCTGCTTGTCCGCGATTGCGAAGGAGGGCTGAGAAAACGTGCCCAGCCCGAGTGTGTAAAGTTGGTTCCTGGTTCCAGACATACCTATTCCAGTAGGCTATATTTCCTTGGATATTAGAAAATCTCCATGCATTGCCTCCAAACTTTTGAAAAATAACAATGCCCTGAGGGTCCTGAAATATATTCTAAAGTGTGTATTGATGGTGGGTTTCGGGTTCTGCCCAGTCCTCCGACTTTACGCTTCCTTTGTGTTTCCCACCCACAAAGCCTAAATAGATTCTGCGACGACAATTAGAGTGCCTGGCCGGCATCTGCCTCGCCTTCCCTGGAGCATTTTCCTGTCTTCTGGTCCAGCCGCTCACCATTAAGCTCTTCCCCTTAGAATTGCTCTGCTTCTCACCTCTCCTTATTGTTCTTTTTTTTTTTTTTCCCCTTAGACATAGTTTCACGGTACTCGTGAGAATGTGTTACGTTCATATAACCAAATCAGGGTAATTGGGATATCCATCACCTTAAATGTTTATCTCTTTATGCTAGGAACATTCAACTTATTTGCTTTTAGCCATTTGGAAGTGTACAATCCATTAATGTGAACTATAGTCACCCCACTGATCAATGCAACATCGGGTCTTATTTCTTCTGTGTATTTATATCCATCAACCTCTCTTCATCCCTCCACCCCCTTCATTGTTCTGCATCTTGCTCACTGCAGTCCTGGGATTCTGTCCTTATTATAAAAGGCCATGGGTCTTTCAAGGATTGTGTCACAATAGGTATTTTTTCCCCCTTTGTCCCTCTCCTTCCTAAATAATAAATAAATAAAACATGTCAAGTTAAGTATGCTAGCAATTGTTTCTAAACCTGTTATTTTCCTATTTATAGTGGTCTGGGCAGGGAGCCTTTCTTGCTTTGTAAGTATTCTGCCTTGGTAAGAGCTCAGCATGTTACATTTCATGTAAATCCCACTCACTCTTATATTTAGTGTATTTGCATAATGGCAAAAGAGGAAGAGGAAGGGGGGAAAGAAGAGCCACCACCGTGTGGTAGAAACAGCATTTAGTTGTGGGGCATTAACCCCTGTTTCGTTATCCTTCAAATGGGGATAAATAAATGCCTTGTAAGGTTCTTAGAACTACATGAATTAACGCAGATAAGGAGCCTGATGTGTAATTAAGTATAAAGAAACGCTGGTTACCTTCCATGCTTAAAACTGGATGAACGTACATTTGCTTAATATAATGCAGGTATGCATGCTATATATAATAGATGGATTTCCCCTTTGATTCTCATTATTCAATGAGAGCTAAGTTTGAAGTGTGTTGCTGGTGTTGGGAGGAAGGAGTGAAGAAGGGTGTTAAAGAGATAACATCTTTCTAGGGGGTCGAGAATCAGAGAATTGGGGAGTTCCTTAATTTCTTTGGACATTTTCATTCTCCCTCTGTTCAGTACAGGCTAATTTCCTCATCATCCCTCACAGATCCTTACTATGTCTGCATTAATGTTTCTAGGAACAGGGTGCAAACTTTATTCATTGTTGGGCAATTTTAATTGCTAGAGAACTTTTTTATATGGCTCTCAAATCTGCCTTTCTATTACACTTATCCATCCTACCCAGTAGAGGAACACAAAGTCTATTCATAAAGTACATAAAAAAGAGCTTTAGGTTTTTTTGTTTTGTTTTTAAAGCAGCAGTTCTTCTCTAAGCTGACTTTATGGGTCAAGATTCTTTAGAGTGCAAGTAATAGAAACTCAGTCAAACCAACACAAGCAAAAAGAGGAAAGATACTGGTTCACGTAGTTGGAAAGTCCAGGGTCTTATGTAGGCTCAGTCATTGTTGTATGACTGGACATTTCTTTGTATTAGCTTTATTCCTGGCCAGCGGTTCTCACATGGTGGCCATTGACATCAGGGACTATAAACTAATATCTTAGAACCAAGTGGAAGGAGAGTATTGTTTTACTAATAGTTCTAGCAAAATCACAGGGCTGAACCTAATTGTTCTGGATGGGCTCAGCTACCTCATGCCTCAAACCAATTATTCTGGCTCTGACCTGCTTCTGGAGCCCAGGGTAAGGCTCTACCCAGGATACATGGGTTTAGCAAAAGGAGAGAAAGGCTTTATCCAAACAAAGCTTAGACTGCCGGTGCCAGAATGGGAAATGGGTGCTGGGTAGACAAAACAACAGTTGCCCACCACACTGCTGCTAATAGTTTTTTCTTACTTTTATTCTCATGGCATGGTGTTCAGGCTTAGTGACTGTGTACTCTGTGTATATTTTAGCTTTTTAGTATCGCTCTTAAACTATGTCTTGAATTGCATATAATGTTATAGATATGACTTCACCAACACAAAGTCCCCAATATTTGAACACTGTAAGTTTTCATATTTTTATGAAGATGCATTTAGTTGAATATTTCACGTTTTATTACAATCTAAGCTTCTTAAATTATAATATTCACACAAGCAACAGAGCAGATGGTAGTGGCACTTTTAATAATTAGCAGATAGAAAATCTAGTGTCCCAATCAATATCATGTAAGCAGGTAGTATATAGCCATAGGTGTCACTCTTGTTTTTAACAGCTAGCAAGAATTAGTTACACTCCATATGGATAAAGTTGTTTTTTGCAAATTATCACCCCGAAGGAAACCATACACACAACTCCACCGTTTTGGTCCCTTATTTGATTTGAAAAAATTATGATTTGAAAACAGACTGAACTGATGCATCTTCTACCCAGTTGCTCATACTTCCTGACATCCTGCAGGTGTACTTCCAATCCCTCTCATGCCTTTGCATGTTCTTTTCAGTTCATGAGGTCAATATTTCTTTACCCTCTACTCTTAGTGCCAGACATGATACAGCAGTGAGCATTATAGTCAGATCCCTGCAGAGGGGAGCTTACCCTGTGTTAGTGAAAGTCCAGAAATGTAATTCCAATTGGGTGAAATGAGGGGCACGGTGCTATGGGAACACAGTGAGGGAGTACTGCTTCTCCAGGGTTTCAGGGAAGGCTTTTATTTAAGCTGGAGCAGGATGTGTGTGAATTAGCCCCTGCAAAGAGGAATAGCTATAGTCTGAATTGAAGCCATAGTATGTGTGAAGGCTGGAGGTGAGAGAGCAAGGGGCATTTGAGAGATTAAAAAGTCCCATGTGGCTACAGTCTAGAGTTCAAGGGGGTGGAAGAGGCTAGAACAGTGTGCAGAACCCAGCTGTTGGAGGACTTAGAGAGCCAAGGAAAGGCTCAGCTTCTATTTTATTCTGAACTCCTTATCTGCAGATGAATGATCTTCACCACAAGCTATTTATTGCAATCGGATTTACTGGGCATTGCCCAGAGAAGGCCATGATGTCCCTGTATGTCACTGGATTGACAGGATGGTATTAAAATTGCTGTTGTATTGATCTGCCTCCCCCACTAGACTGGCTGCTGAAGGGCAGGGAATGTGTGTCAGTTTATTGTGAGGTGTCCAGCCCCTAGCTTAGGCCTGCCTCAAGTGTGCTATGCGTTTTCTCCTTTGTTGCCTTGCTTTACGTATGCATTTCCTCCTGTATAGAGTGCCCTACCCTACCTGTCCGGCTGGACCACTCCTCCCCAGTGACCTCCAGAAAGCCTCCTGCCGTTTACTCCTTTGTGCTTCCAGATGCCTTGGACCCACCACTCAAAGAGTATTTGTCACATTGCTCTTCATTGTAGGCCCTCATTTGCCTTTAGAATGTGAGATCCCTGAGGGCAGATCCTGTGCTACACACCTTTTGTATTTTCGGTGCCTAGCAGGGTACCCTGAAGAAGACCTACTCAGAGTGAATCGTGGGTGCAAGGAGAATGACTGTATTCTCCCCCACGGATGTGGAGAATAGGAGTGCAGGCAGCTAAGGGGGCGGTTACAAAGGTAGAGGGAAAATGGGGACACTTCAGTGCCACATGCATCACACAAATATTTTTAGGAAAAGGGACATGGTAAATTAATAGTGACAAATGCGACATGAAAAAGACAAAGGGCCCTTGGATTTGGATGTGCTTAATGGAATGTAATGGTGATAATTTAGACTTCCTTTTTCCCTCCCAGGCAGCAATGAATGTGGATCACGAGGTTAACCTCTTAGTGGAGGAAATTCATCGTTTGGGTTCAAAAAGTAAGTATCTAACAGAGATAGAGTATTTTTCGTGGCTTTACGTTGAACAGGCGAGACTGGCATGCTGGAGAAGCCTAGAAGGGGTCACCCAGGGGTTCAGGACAGAGGTATGGCAGCTCTGCCCACAGCCCCAGGTGGTAACTGCCCTTAGCCAGAGAGTGACATCTGGAGACACAGGACTTTGGGGGTATTGTGATTCTGATGCAGAGAATGGTTGAGATATTTCATTATTTTTTCAATAGAAAGCAAATTACCAAGCTTCTTTCATCTGACTACATTGAAATTTGGTAATTGAATCATGTTCAAATTTTTACTTATACTATTAAAATTCATGTTTTCTGCTTTGTTCTGCTATCATTTTACAAACTTCTTTTTTTAAATCATCTTATCTAAAATGTCATCATTTTACAAACTTGTAAATGACTAGGGACTTACGTTGAAATTATACTAAATTATACTAAATTGTCTTTATTTTCTCCAAATCTCAAATCTTGAGTTTTGTATAATCAGGTATTAAGTAAGATAACTAAAATAAATCACCCTTTAGGTAGTGTTTAAGAAAAATTATCTTTTTCTTCAGCAATAACTAGGCAGCTTCCTTGAAGATAGTGACATGCAAAATGGGTAGTATTCGCATCTTCTTCCTAAGTCGTAATGAAAATTACTATTCTACTTGTGGCTTTAGGTATTTGGTACATCTCAGATGAGACATGCAAGAATTTGGGGAGCATTTTGAAAATAATGAGAATAATAGACGTATTCAGCAACAACTAGGATAATAGGACTGGAAGTTTTAAAATTACATCATGTAAGTGAAAACCCGTTCTAGAAAGTCCCTCAGAAGCTCTCAAGGTTTGTGTCATTATAGTTTGATTCTTCTTAAAGTACTGTCTGTTCATGAATCACAAATCCATTGAAGTAACAGGACAGACTTGGAAAATTCCATTAAGCCATTAATATCAAATGTCCCCTGCAATGGTTTTCTGTTCCTGCTGTAACAGATTGCCACAAATTTAGTGATGTAAAACAACACATTTAATATCTTAAGAGTTCTGTAGGTCAGGAGTTTGACAAGGGTCTTGCTAGAGTAAGATTAAGGTGTTGGCAGGGGACTCCTTTCTATAGGTTCCAGGAGGGAATCAGTTTCCTTGCCTTTTCCAGCTTCTAGAGGTGGCCTTGGCTCATGGTCCCCTTTCTCTGTCTTAAAGCGAGCAAGAGCTGATTGAGTCCACACGTTGCATCACATCGACCTCCTCCACTTTTTCTTTTAAGTTTGTTTGTTTGTTTGAGACAGAATCTTACTCTGTTGCTTAGGCTGGAGTGCAGTGGTGCAATCTCGGTTCACTGTAACCTCCCGCCTCCCGGGTTCAAGTGATTCTCCTGCCTCAGCCTCCCGAGTAGCTGGAATTATAGGCACCTGCCATCATGCTCAGCTAATTTTTGTAGTTTTAGTAGAGATGGGGTTTCACCATGTTGGCCAGGCTGGTCTTGAACTCCTGACCTCAGGTGATCCATCCACCTCGGCCTCCCAAAATGCTTGATTACAGGTGTGAGCCACCACACTCGGCCTAGTTTCTTGTATTTTTATTAGAGATGGGGTTTCACTGGCCGGGCGCAGTGGCTCACGCTTGTTATCCCAGCACTTTGGGAAGCCGAGGCAGTTGGATCACGAGGTCAAGAGTTCGAGGCCAGCCTGGCCAACATGGTGAAACCCTGTCTCTACTAAAGACACAAAAAAAAAAAAAAAAAAAATTAGCCGGGCGTGGTGGCATGTGCCTATAATCCCAACTACTAGGGAGGTTGAGGCAGGAGAATCTCTTGAACCCGGGAGGCGGAGGTTGTGCCAAGATTGCGCCACTGCACTCCAGTCTGGGCAGTGGGGCAAGACTCCATCTCACAAAACAAACAAACAAACAAGCAAGCAAACATAAAAGAGATGGGGTTTCACCATGTTGGCCAGGCTGGTCTTGAACTCCTGGCCTTAAGTGATCCACCTGCCTCGGCCTCCCAAAGTGCTGGGATTACAGGTGTGAGCCACCATGCCCGGCCTGCCTCCCTCTTCTGTTTTAAGGACTTTTTGGATTACACTGGGCTCACCCAGGTAATCCAGGATTCCTCCCTGTCGTGGGGTCCTTAATTGAATTGCATCTGAAAAGTCCCTTTTGCCATGTGAGGTAACATACAGATTCTAGGGATTGGACATGCATATCTTCTGGGGCCTTTATTCTTCCTATTACTTTGTCTTAGTCACTCTATTTCTATATCAAACCCAAGTCATCATTACTGAAATGTACCAAGAAAAGATAAATGAGGCATATTAAAGTTGGTGTGGACTCTTAAGTCCTAAGGTAGTCAACAACTAAGTGAGTTGAATCATATGATCAGTTAATACTTATTGAGTATCTGTATGTGCTAATAACTGTGTAGTACAAGTGGTATAAAGTGTGTTCCTTTTCCTCAGGGATTTTACTACTTAGTTGATGAAAACAAATAAAATCTCATAGTCCAGGTGCCATGGCTCAGGCCTGTAATCCTAGCACATCAGGAGGCCAACGTGGGAGGATCATGTAAGCCCAAGAATTCAAGACCAGCCTGGGCAACAAAGTAGGATCCCATCCCTACAAAAAAATTGAAAACTTAACCAGGCATGGTGGCATACAACTGTGGTCCCAGCTGTACTGGAGGCTGAGGCAGGAGGATTGCATGAGCTCAGGACGTTGAGGCTGCAGTGAGCTGTGTTGAAGCCATTGCACTCCATCCTATGGGACAGAGTGAGACCCTATCTCAAAACAAAAAGAAAAACAATAAAAAACTCATGAGGCAATTGTCAGAAAAAAAAATGGTATGCTGAACTATGAAATGCTGACATGCAATATGGTCCCTTCAAAATAGATTATTGGAAGTTGTAGTAGTTGGGGGCACTCAGTGAAGTCTTGCATCTCAGGTAGGACTTTGAAGTATAGGGCAGGTCAGTTTAGGGGGAAATCCATGAGTTGGTTTTGGAATGGGAATGAATGTATTGTTTGAAGAGAACACTGAGAAGACGTTGGAAAATGTAATTTATTTAGTTTCCTTTTTGAGACGGAGTCTCGCTCTGTCACCCGGGCTGGAGTGCAGTGGCACCATCTTGGCTCACTGCAACCTCTTGTCTTCTAGGTTCAGGCGATTCTTGTGCCTCAGCCTCCCTGGTAGCTGGTATTACAGGTGTCCATCACCACGCCTGGTTAAGTTTTGTATTTTCAGTAGAGATGGGGTTTTGCCATGTTGGCCGGGCTGGTCTCAAACTTCTGGCCTCAAGTGGTCCGTCTGCCTCAGCCTCCCAAGGTATTGGGATTACAGGCATGAGCCATTTCGTCTGGCCATGATGTATTTAGTTTCCTAATCAAAGAAATCAACAATCTTCCCTAACTCAATTTTTCTCCCACCCATTTCACCACACCCACTTGATGGAGGCTTGATGAGTCTTATTTTCCACAGCGATGCCCCTCCTGTTCTTCCTCCCACACTCCTGTTTTTTTCCTGAGCTCAGTGAGGTCATCTTACTCTTGGCAGCATTATTATTGTTTTTTTCTTTTTCTTTTCTTTTCTTTTTTTTTTTTTTTCTGAGACAGACTCTTGCTCTATCACCCAGGCTAGAGTGCAATGGTGTGATCTTGGCTCACTGCAACCTCTGCCTCCTGGGTTCAAACAATTCTCCTGCCTCAGCCTCCTGAGTAGCTGGGATTACAGGCATCCGCCACCACTCCTGGCTAATTTTTGTATTTTTACTAGAGACAGTATTTCGCCATGTTGGCCAGACTGGTCTCGAACTCCTGGCCTCATGTGATCCACCCGCCTCAGCCTTCCAAAGTGCTGGGATTGTAGACGTGAGCCACTGGGCCCAGCCATGCATTACTGTTGTTTGGATAGTTATAGGTGTTAAAGGCATATTTCTAAAGATTTGTAGGATTTTCTTTTCTGTATCCATGTCAGCCTAGTGTTTATTGGTCATATTCAATTAGTTTTTTCTTTTTTTTTTTGAGACGGAGTCTGGAGTGCAGTGGCCGGATCTCAGCTCACTGCAAGCTCCGCCTCCCGGGTTCACACCATTCTCCTGCCTCAGTCCCCCGAGTAGGTGGGACTATAGGCGCCCGCCACCTCGCCCGGCTAGTTTTTTGTATTTTTTTTTAGTAGAGATGGGGTTTCACCGTGTTAGCCAGGATGGTCTCGATCTCCTGACCTCGTGATCCGCCCGTCTCGGCCTCCCAAAGTGCTGGGATTACAGGCTTGAGCCACCGTGCCCGGCCCATATTCAATTAGTTTTTAAATTCTAACCTTTACAGTACTAGTCATTATTCTGGTAAGGCAAACTGAAATTCCGCTTCAAAATTAGCAGCTTTCACGTTAGAAGACAAGATAATTATCATAACTTCTGTAAGCATGGAAATACTTTTAATTTTGCAGCTTCATCAGGATACCTTGACTTTCTCATTCCTGGCAAAAGATGACTTACTGAGTTTGAAAGCATATGTAGATATGTGTAATCTTTGAATGTGTTATGGTTAATTATTTAAGTTGTATCTGGAATGATTTTGCTTTAGTCTACATATTATGAGCTCAAGATGAAAACTGATGAATTTAGTTTTATCTTTTCATTCAAAGTCAAGTTCTTTAAAGTCTCATTTTTCATATAGTGAAAAAGATTAAATGGGGAGAGAGCACTTGGATATTTAAATTCTTCCATTCAACAAATTTTTTTTAGGTCCCCTTTGTGCTCAAGTGCTGGAGATGTAAAAATAAACAAAATTCCATCTCCATCTTTGAGGTTCTCTTTAGGTAGCTGAAAGACAGGCAAACTAGAAGTACCTAGAGGGAAGTAATTAATATGCGCTGTAAAGTTGGACTCTGTGGAAATGAATCCCAGCTCCTCTACATACTTGCTGTGTGACCTTGGCAACTTTACTAAACTTTTCTGTGCCTTGTTTTCCTTGTTTGTAAAACAGTAATACTCTACTTCAAGGACACATTTCTTCACATTAAAAGAATCTCTAAAATAGGCTGGGTGCGGTGGCTCACGCCTATAATCCCAGCGCTTTGGGAGGCCAAGGCAGGCAGATTGCCTGAGGTCAGGAGCTCGAGACCAGCTTGGCTAACATGGTGAAACCCTGTCTCTACTAAAAATATGAAAATCAGCTGGGCGTGGTGGCGGGTGCTTGTAATCCCAGCTACTTGGGAGGCTGAGGCAGGAGAATCCCTTGAACCTGGGAGGCAGAGGTTGCAGTGAGCCAAGACCACACCATTGCACTCCAGTCTGGGCAACAAGAAGGAAACTCAAAAGAAAAAAAAAAAAAAAATCTCTCAAATAAAAATGCATCTTATAGTACATGGCATGCTATGGTTAAATTGGCAGTTTAATTGTAATATAAAATAATGATGCTTCTTGCAATCAATTGTGTCTTATCTTCCATGAAATACAGATTAAGTGAATTTTAATGACTGTAAAATGCATCGAACAGTTCCGGATCATAGCAAGTACTCAATACATGTTAGCTATTAATACTGTTATGATGGTGAACACTTTGATAGATATATACTCAGTTTTATAAGAAGAGCTATTCACTCAACTGAGGGGATCATGAAGGACTTCTAGAAAAGGTGGCATTTGAATTCATTCCTGAAGAAAAATAATTTAGCTAGGAAAAAGTTTCTGGGTTTCTGGGCAGATGACTGAACATGGGCACTGTTACAAAGGCAGGATCTGTCATATCATCTTAGGCACAGCAAGCAGGTCATTGTGACTGAATCAGAAGGTACATGCAGTGATATGGCAGAAGGCCAGGCAAGCGATAGATGCAAGGCCAGAGGATGAAGTGCCTCTTCTGCAAGGCCATGGACTTCTCTTTATTTAGAAGGTCATAGGGAGCCATTGAAATATTAAAGTAGGCTTGATGAGGTGGCTCACACCTGTAATCCCAGCACTTTGGGAGGCCAAGGCAGGAGGAATGCTTGAGCCCAGGAGTTCGAGACCTCGTCTCTATTAAAAATAAAAATAAATTAGGTGTGGTGGCGCATGCCTACAGTCCCAGCTACGTGGGAGGCTTGGAAGGCTCAAGAGGATCTCTTGAGTCCAGGAGTTCGAGGTTGCAGTGAGCTATGATCACAGAACTGCCCTCCAGCCTGGGCAACAGATCAACACCCTGTCTCAAAAAAAGAAAAAAGAAAGAAAGAGGGATTAAAGTAGAAGAGTAACAATGAGCTTTGCATCTCATAAAATTTCTTCCACATTGTTTCTTCTGCACCCATGTGGAGGATGTATTGAGGGGCAAAAATGCAGAAAAGGAGGCTGGTATGGAGTTCTCAGCAGCTTGCAGTGACGCAAGTGAGAAACACTTAGGACCTGAACCAAGGAATTAACTGTCATTGGAGAGGAGAGGCAGTAGTCACAGAAGACACAAAGAAGGTGGAATCACCCAAACATTTGTCAGATTGAGGGATGAGGGGGGCATGAGAACTCCAAGATTACACCCAGGTTTCTGTCTTTGGTGCCTTTAAAAATTTTAACCAAAGTTGAGAATTCACTGTATGCTGGGCACTCTAGAAAAGGCTTTTTCTTTATTATGTCTGTTAATCCTTGCAACGGCCCTGTGAGAGGTATTTTTACCCTCATTTGATGGATACCTGAAGTTCAGAGAGCTTGGAGGACTTGCCTGAGGTTACCAGCAGCTCCACTTCTATCTGTAATCAGTGACAGGTTCCTGTTGCACACAGAGTGTCATGCAGGTAGAAGTTGAAAAATCAAAGAGGTGCATCTTTGCTTTCCAGGCCAACCATGGTCAGATTCCCTGTTTTCCCTTTAGAACATCTTTCATCCTCCTTCTCATCTTAGGTGATCTATTTCAGGTGAGTAAACTACTCAACGCTGGTCACTGTTCCCCCAGCCACCTTACTCGTTTTTAGCCTTGCCTGTGGCTTGGCACACTATCCCTATTTGTGTCAGTCACAGCAGAGCCCCTGGTCGCTGATGGTCTGCTCAGTGTGTGCCAGGCAGTGTGCCGAGTGCTTTCGAATTGTGTCTCCTGGCAGCACCGAGAAAAGATGTTCAGGTCCCCATTTTACACAGGAGGAAGCCAAGGCTTAGGGAGCTTTAAACAAGTTGCCCAAGGCCAAACGACTAGTAGGTGGCAGAGATTTCCACTGAGGACTGTTAGGTTTTTGAAAAGCTCAGAGCATATCATCACAATGAAGCTGAAGAAAAAAAGCTCCAGGTTATTGTCTCCTTTCAAGTCCGGAAGAGGTACTGCCTCCTCCATGAAGTCTTTCTTACCATTCTTGCCCAAAGACATCTTGCCCTCCTCTAAACTGTAAAATATATTTTCTTTTTTTCTTCTTTTTTTATTGAGACAGGGTCTCACTCTGTTGCCCAGGCTGGAGTGCACTAGCACGGTCATGGCTCACTGCAGCCTCGAACTCCTGGGCTCAAACAGCCATCTGCTTCAGCCTCCTGAGTAGCTGGGATCACAGGTGCACTCCACCACACCCAGCTATTTTTAGTTTATTTTTTTAGGAGAGAGATGATCTCAGTATGTTGCTCAGGTTGGTGTCAAACTTCTGGGCTCCAGGTATCCTCCTACGTTGGCTTCCTAAAGTGCTGGGATTACAGGCATGAGCCACTGCACTCAGCCGGGATGTATTTTCTTGGCTTCTCATTTGGCATCCAATCACGTACTGCTTTGTATTGTTGCTTTAACTTGTTATGTATATATTTCTTATTTCCTCATGGGACTCAGAGTCATTGCTTTGAAAGTTCGAAAGCAATTTTGTCCTTCCTTATATCTGTCTCTAGCGTCTAACACAGTGCTGTGCTTACAGTAGGAGTTTGCCAAGCAGCCAGTCAGCAGTTCTCGCCAGGGAGCGTGGGCACTGAAGAACCTTGGGTCAAGAAATGGTCCTCTCCTCACTGTGAGGGCCATTCTCTTGACCGTGGGGGTAGCTTTGGAAGGAAGAACCTGCAGTAGAGGGCTAGGAAGAGGTCAGGGATTCAGTCAGGTGATCAAAGGAATCACCCAAGGATAGGGAGGCATCTCCCAGATTACTCTCGTCTCCAGGTTTTCAGGTTACTGATTTTTAACAGCAGATCCACTTTTGGTCTATCTTAACTTTCAGTGTCTTATGTTCAAAACTGGCTTCCAAATAAGATAATCTAGGGCTCATATGAAATACGGATTTCTGAGTCTACTACCAGGAATTCAGATTCAGTGGTCCTGATAAATGGCTGATGATAATGCATTTTTAAGGAGCCCCCACTCCCACCCTGGGGATTCCGAGTGTTCAGAACACACTTAGAGAAACACTGCTCTTGATCCTGGTTTTCTATTTTATTTGTAGTCTTTATTGATTCAAAAACTCACATAACAATTAACAAATAAAAAGCGGGAAATTTATCTGCAATATTAGCACTGTAGCACATTCAACTTTTGTGAATGTTTCTTGGTTCTCAGTCTTTGGATAATCCTAAGGCTGAGAGGCATATAACATGTATTTATTCCATTACTTTTTGGATCTGGGAAGAGAATATGTTGAATTTATGACTGTTAAATGTTAAATTGTAATCTTGGATAGCCCATAGTTAGAAAGGTATTAAAGATTTTGTAAATCTGCCATACTTGATGGTAAGACACAGACTTTACATTTGCTAACAATGTATTTTCTCAAATTAGATGCTGATGGAAAGTTAAGCGTGAAATTTGGGGTCCTCTTCCGAGACGATAAATGTGCCAACCTCTTTGAAGCATTGGTAGGAACTCTCAAAGCTGCAAAACGAAGGAAGATTGTAACGTATTCAGGAGAGCTGCTTCTGCAAGGTGTTCATGATGATGTTGACATTGTATTACTGCAAGATTAATGTGGTTCACATATCTTTTATGTACTGCCATTTTTTGTTTCTGGTAAACTGGAATATAAAGTGAAAGAACAAACATTTGAACATACTTAATGTATTTTTATAGAACTTTGTAAACAAGAGGAGATTAATGTTTTAGAAGTCTGTCCTTTTTTATATCTTGAAAGAAAATTTATGTATGATGCTATAAAATAAACAAATCCTATTATTTTTCTCAGGAATCTGGTTGGGAATTGTAGGCAATGAGGTTTTTTGGGAGGCGGGGACAGGGGAATGTTTGTTTCATAAATAATTAGACATTTTCTATAGATATTTGACATTCTGCAAAAGCAACAAGCAAATTGAAGACCAACTCCTATGAGAAATATTATAATGTTTATGTAATAAAGACATGTAGCTGTCTCAAAATTGCCTTATTTTGTCATTTAAGTATTTGTGTGCTTCTCAGAATTGAGTTTTTGTATCAATATTAGATAACTGCAGTAAAAGTTATGTTAATCTGAAACAAATTCTCTCAGAACTACCAAATTTCAGTAATAGGAATGGCTGGGCACTGGTGCTCACACCTGTAATCCCAGCACTTTGGGAGGCCGAGGTGGGCAGATCACCTGAGGTCGGGAGTTCGAGACAGCTTGGCCAACATGGTGAAGCCCCGTCTCTACTAAAAATACAAAAATTAGCTGGGTGTGATGGCACATGTCTGTAATACCCACTACTCTGGAGGCTGAGGTATGAGGGTCACCTGAACCCAGGAGGTGGAGGTTGCACTGAGCCGAGATTGCCCCACGGCATTCCAACCTGGGTGACAGAGCGAGACTCAGTCTCACAAAAAAAAAAAAAAGAGAAGAAAAAAGAAATAGGAATGGTTAGTGTTATGGTTGGACCCTATACAAAATACTTATTTTGAGGCTGATTGTGTGCTTATTGCTGAGTTAGGGGACATGCCAAAAAATCTAACCTAAAAACTTCACATAAACTTCAAATTCTAGTTGGGTGACACCCATCTGAAACAATATGGGATAATCTCTGATTGCATGTTACAGAATTTAAAATTACTTGGAATACCAAGAAGAGTAAAAGCAGTGAAAGCCACAGTGGCCAGGGGAGAGATCCTGGAGGGGGCAGAGCTTGCATTGAGGAATGATTGCAGCTGATTATCTCGAGGGAAAAAAAGACGGGATGATGAGGGTGATGACTGAAGGAAAGGCAGAAGGACACAAATCGGCAAGGCATGATCTCGTGAAAGGCAAGATATCAGGCCGACCAGAATTCTGGGGAGAGAGGTGGTTCATTGGACCATGAAAGTGGGACCTGGGAAACCAAGAAGAGGAATCTGAACAGAAACTGGAGCAAGGACATTCCATGATGACAGTGATATTTAGTGCAGATGGCCCTGACACTAGTGATTCAGGTGGATTGTAGAGAGTGAAGAAGTGGTCAGACAAGCCAGCTGAAATGTTGCTCAGGATCCTCATGGGGATGATGATAACGCAAAGGCAGGGGAAGAATGAACTCTAAGCATGGTTTTAAAATCAAAGCCCTCTCATCTGTGCTCTTTCTGCTGTGACAGGACCCCACCTCAAAGTATATCAAACAATATTAGAATTCACTGGCACTTGATGGTTATTGCTAACTTTTATTGAGCATTTACAATGCTAATTCTCATATAACCCTGTGAGGTAGGTACTAATAGTACCTTCCATTTTATAGATGAGGTAAGTGAGGCACAGAAAAGTCGTCACTTGTCCAAGTTCACCTAGGTAGAAAGTTGTAGAGTCTGAATTTTGAAATTGGACTCATCTAACTGGCAATTCCAGGGATGGCGCAGACTTTGAGCGTGGCTGGCTCCAGGGACTCAACAAAGTCAAAACTCTCTGTTTTTCCACATTGGCTCTCATGCCTTCTCTGGTTTGAGCTCTTTCTACTCTAAATAGACTCCCTGCGTATAGCTGGGAAGATGCTTCTGGTAGTTGCAAATTCACTTATTCCTAGATTAGTAATTCTAGTAGAGAGAGCATTTATTATAATATCTAATTATGAATTCCAAGAAGGGAATTCTGATTGGTCTCACTGCAGTATAAACCTACCCCTTCGACCAATGACATTTACCAGGGGGATGAAACACCGTAACTGACAGGCCATAGGTCACATGCTGGTTTCTCAGTGGGGATGGGGTGAGTTACTGTGCTTGACAACCTCATTTCAAATAAGAAAGGGGTAGTTTTCCAAAAGCAATGATGGCTGGCTACATGGGAATGATGTAGGTTCGCTGTAGAAATAAGAGACCTTTGGAAGAATGAATCCTTACCATTATGTGGCAGAAAATGAAAAGGTAAATGAGAAGCCATGGTCAAAAGCTACCATCATATATGCCCTCAGTGACTGAGAGAATAATGAACTAATTAACAGAGGTGGGAAAATTGGATGGAGAAGGAGGGCTAGTTTCAGGGAGTTTGATCTGAGCATGGCGAACTTGAGGTAGTTAAAGTAGAAATGTGTAGTACGTAGGTGAGGATTTTCTTCTAGAACCCAGGCTAAGTAAAGGCTTAGGAGTGTAGACAGAGACTTGGGAATTGTGGTTCATGGTTGATTTTCACTTTAATTTTGATTTGTATAGATAATTCTACTTCTGCCTGTCTTAGTAATGTTAAATTGAAATTTTATTTATCAGGCACTTAGAAAATACAAAAGACAAACAATCTACAGGCTTTGCAAAAGTCTAGGCTGAGAAACTGAAGCAACCTTTAGATGGAAGCAATGCAGGAAGCCCAAAGAAGTCTAAGAATTTTATGAGGTGGCTGACCGTGTGTAATCAAAAAGACTCTTAAAAAATCTATAGAAGTTGAAATTGTTACTCAGTCTGTCATGATTTGTTTAATGTCTTCTTGGTGAGCATCAAATGAAGTTTAGTTTCAAGCCCTTGATGATTTAACGTTTAATGAATATCTTCCAGAGAAGGTATATTCATGTGATTGTTCAGTTATTTAAAGAAAACTGACAGAGTATCGTTTCTATCTACCATTGATATCAACAATACAGTTTTATGTTTTTTCCTTTAGATTCAAGATGGTTAGTCCTTTGTATCAACTTCACATATAGATAGTTCTTTTATTTGGATCATGATGTTAAAATTTAAAATCATAGATTTGATTTTTTTGAGTTATGAATATACTCCTGTGAATTTTGAGCTGTGAATACAGTGAAAATACTCCTTCTTGGCTATAAGTTGCATTCCAGTTAATTATCTCAGTAATAAGTGCCATTGGCTACAGTTGGCTGGGAATTAGAGATGATCAACAGTTATACACCAACATTCCTTTATTCACACAATGAAAATATGGAACATCTACTTTGTTCAAGTCACTGTTTTAGGCATTAGGAAAGACTAAAGCAAAGTAAAAATAAACAAAATTCAATTCTAGTCCTCCAAAAACCCCAAGTAGTACTACGTATTATTAATAAATAGTATAAAAGAAGCTTTGGGTAAATGATACAGGGATATGGGTGCAAAGATGAAGAATTGTTCCTGGGGAGACCTGGGGGCTTTCATGGATAAAGTGAAGTTTCCTGGGGCCTTAAAGCAATAGAATAATAGGGTAGGACTTTAGGGGTAGAGTCGCTACTGTATACAAAATCAGAGAAAGGCAAGTAATTTGAGGTATGGAAGGAAAGAGGCGTAACAACAGTTGAGGCTAGAAAGGAAGGTTGGGACATTGATTTTGAACCTTTAGGATAGAAGAAACAGTTCTAAGTGTATGTCTTAATAATGGTGAATTACAAAGAACAGTAAAAAAACTTACATAAAATAATTTGATAAGTACCACTAATTATAAAGAAACTTTAATTTTTAACTTCTGTAACATTGCTATTTTGTGTATTGAGATTACATAACACAATCTATAAATATAGCTTATCATCTTCATAGTGAACGACTGTTCACTGAAAACTGATTAAAGTTACCACGTTTGCATACTTGAATTTTCTTAAGCTCCTATCACAGGAAGTCCAAGCATGCCCTAGTGTCCCGGAGTCACAATTTAAAAATAAGTTACTGGCTGAGTACAGTGGTTCACACTTATCCCAGCACTTTGGGAGGCCAAGGCAGGAGGATCACTTGAGTGCTGGAGTTCCAGACCAGCCTGGGCAACAAAACAAGACACCCATCTCTACAAAAAACTAAAAAAATTAGCTGGGGTGTGGTGGCGTGACCCACTACAGTCTCCACTACTTGGGAGGCTTTCATAGATACCTAGGAATTCAAGGCTGTTGTGAGCCATGACTGTGCCACTGCACGCCAGCCTGAGTGTCAGAGTGAAATTCTGCCTCTAAATAAATAAATAATTAATGGCCAGGTGTGGTGGCTCACGCCTGTAATCCCAGCACTTTCGGAGGCCAAGGCGGGTGGGTCATTAGGTCAAGAGATCAAGACCATCCTAGCCAAAGTGGTGAAACCCCGTTTCTACTAAAAATACAAAAATTAGCTGGGCGTGGTGGCTCATGCCTGTAGTCCCAGCTACTCAGGAGGCTGAGGCAGGAGAATCACTTGAACCCGGGAGGCAGAGGTTGTCAAGAGCCAAGATCGCGCCACTGCGCTCCAGCTTGGCGACAGAGTGAGACTCCATCTCAAAAAAATAAATAAATATAAAAATAAATAAATAATTAAATAAGTTACAGACCAGGTAACTTAATATGTTGATACAACTGTCTTTTCCTCCCGTCAGCCGATAATTGTCCATATACCATTACAATAGCCGAAATTAGAAAAGAGGAGGAGGGCAAATGATTGAGCAGGGTTGAAAAGGTGGAATGGATTAGATAATTCCCAAACCGGATGAACTGAGGTTTCAACAAATGCCTATTTAACATAATTTAAAGATTACTGACATTGTTATCTCATTTTCAATACAATGGCTGAGTCACTGAAGCTACCTGAAGCTAAAATGTAAAATTAACTTTTGAAAAGAAATTATTTCAGGCCGGGCGCGGTGGCTCAAGCCTGTAATCCCAGCACTTTGGGAGGCCGAGACGGGCGGATCACGAGGTCAGGAGATCGAGACCATCCTGGCTAACACGGTGAAACCCTGTCTCTACTAAAAAATACAAAAAACTAGCCGGGCAAAGTGGCGGGTGCCTGTAGTCCCAGCTACTCGGGAGGCTGAGGCAGGAGAATGGCGTGAACCCGAGTGGAGGAGCTTGCAGTGAGCTGAGATCCGGCCACTGCGCTCCAGCCTGGGTGACAGAGCAAGACTCCGTCTCAAAAAAAAAAAAAAAAAAAAAGAAAAGAAATTATTTCAGAATCCAGGATTCTACCATCAACAGCAGTTATAACATTTACGAGCCAGAAAAAAAAAAAAGTTACAGAAATGTGGATCTGAGGAATTTGTCGTAAGGAAACATTGACATCCCAGAT